CGGAGTTTGCCTCCTCCACATCACTACTTAATGCATTCCATTTGTTAACTACTCTGACACTGCCAAAATTCTTTTTAATGTCTCTATGGCTCATTTCTTTACTAAATTTCCATATGTGTCCCTTTGTTCGTGTTCCGCCCATGCTAAATAGTTTGTTTTTGTCCACCCAGTAAATTAATTTCCTCTTGGAAGGAATTGATAGGGTGGACAAAGACAGACTTGCTTATTAGTGTGTGATGCTCAGGCTACCGCTAGAATTAGTCCTTTTTATGTCATCTCTCACATCACATTGGCATTTCCTTACGCGATTTTTTTTTCAGATTATCTTGACATGAATTCGCCTGCAACGGTGAAGAGGGCGAATTATGACGTCATCAATGAGTTTAACGTTCTTCTGTATGTGACGTCATAGTTGACTTTCTGTTTGTCCGAATGTTTTGCTAATCTCTGTAAATAATACAGCAAGAAATATCTAGATTTAGATGAAATATATAAAAGATTCGCAACGAATAATAATTTAGCATTGAATATGAATAAGAATATAAGTGAAATAGAAGAACAGAGGAAAATGATGAGGGGGGGGGCTGAGGTAGTTTGAGAGGGGAAGCCAGAGCCAGCGGGGCAGGTCGGGACGTAGTCGTGGACAGTGCTGCCAGATTGGGCTACAAATAGCGAATTGGGCTACTTTTCATAGCCCCGCGCTCCCAAATATTTAATTTCGCTACTTGCTACTTTTTGGGCTAATTTAAAAGCAAGATGTGCTAATTTGGGCTATTAAAGTTAAGAATGTACGATTGCGAGTTACATGAAAGTAACTAAGCTATAAATAATTGTAATTAATAATAATTGTAAATATTAATTAATACTAAATAATATTATTTAATAAATTAGTCCTAAGTCAATGCAGAGTTTTCTTCCAAGCACAGAAACTTGTAAATATAAATACAAGATAATAGATAGATCGATAAATAAATAGACAACTTTCAAATATTGCACCAAGTAATGGCGAGAGGAAGAAACTAGACAGTATACATTACATTTGAAATTAATAATGGATGAATGGTAATAAATTGGTGTATGTTTGTATGTATACCAGACAAAGTCCATTTAATGGCAGAATTTAGCCATTTTGTGTAAAAACGTTTATGTCTCATATTATTAATTATAACAGTAATCGAAAAAAGTCATAGTTGGTATATACAAGAGATGAAACAGAGAGCCATGAGCTAGAGCGATGTGCTGAGTCCATAAGGAGGCCGAGCTTCCGAAAATACCTTCCTGTGATTGGCTGTTGCGGGGAATACAAACACCCTTTTATGAATAAAATTTAAACTAAGAAATAGGTCCTTGTGCACAACAACAAGGTTGTTGTGAAAAAGAACAACAATTTCTGTTTTGCACCTGACAGAAATCTCCATCTAACTGAATAACTGACTCGAATAAGAGGGCAGAGCAGCGTATCATTATTTGTGTCAAGGCAACCCCCAATAATAACGTCACAAGTAAGGTAGCCAACCCATTTTTATATAACATCTGTTATATCCTGCAACATTTAATTATCACTTTATTGACACTTTAAATAATTAACACCACTTTTTTGGGGTAAATTAAAGTTAAAGCAGAATTCCATAAGCAGGACTGGTGGGCTGAACTAAGATGATTTACTAAGTGGATAGCACCTATAGCTGATCCCTTCCTGTGATTGGCTGTTGTGTGAATGTCAACAAAGAGTTTCTACCAATGATATGCCATTGTTTATGCACCCCATACCATCTGTGGGCGGAGCTTGGAACCTCCTACCCGAGCACAACAACCCGCCTTATGGGTTGCTGTTTGGCTATTTATAGTGCGTTGGAAAAAACAGAGATGGCGTTAGTTGTAATTTGTGGGGTAATTTGTTATAAGTGTAATTTGATGTCAACAGATGGCGTAAGCTGTACCTTATGGTCACTGTTGACCAGCCAGTTGATAGTGTTAGGGCCCGTGCAGGATTATCCCTGCAAAAAGGAAAAAAAAAAAAAGTTGATAGTGTTCTTATCTGCCGACAGATGGCATCAGCTGTATTATTAGTATTTTTAATATTATTACATTAATAATAATGTATTATTATTACTTTAAACACTGATTTATTTATACGTCTGGTAGCCTATAATAAGGTTTTATACCATGCTGGTATTAGGTAACTAGAATTCTGCAATTACTTTTTTTATCTACTGTTGAGGATATGTAAGACAAATGTAAGGTTTTGAGGCTAAGTAACGAAGAAAGTTACAAGATACGAGCCAGATGGTGTTGAGATTGCAAAAGGGATTATGATAAGAACTTGAGCCAAAAAATCGATGCATAAAGTTTGCAAATATGAGACTGGGATTTATTTCTCGAAAAGTTAGCAATAAAATACGCTTTCTAGTTCTTTATTTTTAAAATTAAGACCAGGGATTCTGTCTAACGAAGCTGCAAGCTAAAACACCGTTATCCTATAATGTTCATCTGTAGCTTGACCCTAAATACTCGTTTATTAAACGAATTTATTGTTAGAGTTCATTAGGAATCAACTTTGTTGAAGGCAGAGTTTCCAACAAATACCTTCCTGTGATTGGCTGTTGTGGGGAATGCCAACGCTTATATGAATAAAATGCAAACTAAGAAATACGTCCTTTTGCTCAATAACCTTGTTGTTATACAAAAGAACAACAATTTCTGTTTTATACAAGACAGAAATGTCCATCTAACTGAATAACGTAGACCAATAAGAGGGCGGAGGCATTGTATCGCCGATATTATTTGTGTGAGGCAACCTCCACTGATGACGTCACAAGTTAGGTAGCCAGCCCGTGTTTCTGTAACACTCGTTACGTCCTTCAGTATTTAATTATTACTATATTAATACTTTTAAATACTTAACATTTCACTTTTTAGGTAGATTAAAGTTGAAGCAGAATGTCATAAGGAAGGATTGTGTGCTGAATAAAGATGATTTATTAAGTAGATGGAGCCTTTAGCTGATCCCTTCCTGTGATTGGCTGTTGTGTGAATGTCAACAAAGAGTTTCTACCAATGATATGCCATTGTTTATGCACCCCATACCATCTGTGAGCGGAGCTTGGAACCTCCTACCCGAGCACAACAACCCGCCTTATGGGTTGCTGTTTGGCTATTTATAGTGCGTTGGAAAAAACAGAGATGGCGTTAGTTGTATTTTGTGGGGTAATTTGTTATAAGTGTAATTTGATGTCAACAGATGGCGTAAGCTGTACCTTATGGCCACTGTTGACCAGCCAGTTGATAGTGTTTTCTTCTGCCGTTATTATTACTTCCGAATTCCCTTTAAACACTGTTCTACAAATCCCTTCCTTGGCTTATGATAAGGTTTTATACTATTTATGATAAGTATTAGATAACTGGAGTTCCGCAATTACTTTCATTTATCAGGATATCATCATATAACGTCTGATTAGGATGTACTGCTCTCGATTGATGAAGATTAAGCCACCCAAGAGGTGGCACGGGCATGAATAGCCCGTAAATACTGCTCTCGCAATATTATTCAGGGGGGTGGGGGAACTATCAAGTGAAAGCGCGAAGCCATTACTGCTATATAGCACTCGAAAGGGGTCAGGATACAGATTTGAGATGTAACGGGGAAAAGGAATGGTGCCCAACCTCTTGGGCGGTCGGGGATTGAACGCGGACCTGTAGGAAACGAAACCGTCGCTCTACCGTCCAGCCCAAGTGGTTAAGCGTATTATTAAAACAACAATTTATGCATATAATAACAGCATTTCACACTAAAATTACTTGGATATATTGAAATTTGGTAGTGAATTCCAATCTAGGAATCTCCTATGACTAAACTGTACTTTTTAATATTTTTTATGTACTTACTACTTATTATTAAATTATTAAGTATTTACTATAATAATTAAATAAATTATTTTATTTAATATTTAAATTAAATGATAAAATAATAGGTAATAATAAATCATTGTGTAGGGGATCAGGCAGCCAGTGTATATATACATGTTAGGCTTATACCAAGGTCCCACAAAGGTATCACAAAGGTGCCAAAATTAAGGACTGGGTGCTGCCGGGGCGGGCCCAAGAGCTGCTGGCGGCCCTGGCCAGGCTGAACTTGCGCGCCCTTATAATCACCATTGTTTAATAATCTTCACAGGGAGAAACAACTGTAAATATAGGAATAGTTTATTACAACATACACGGTAAAGAAAACAGCTCGGAAACTAAGGAAATAAAGCTGGTCATCTTGAAGGGCATGACAATCATCTAAGTTTCTTATCCTTCCTATTATCTTAGCATCATCAGCAAACATGTTCATATAATTCTGTATACCAACTGGTAGATCATTTATGTAGACAATAAACATCACTGGTGCAAGAATTGAACCCTGTGGTACTCCACTTGTGACATTTCTCCAGTCCGATACATTGCCTCTGATTACTGCCCTCATTTTTCTATCAGTCAGAAAATTTTTCATCCATGTTAAAAGCTTACCTGTCACCCCTCCAATATTTTCCAGTTTCCAGAACAACCTCTTATGTGGAACTCTGTCGAAAGCCTTTTTTAGGTCCAGATAGATGCAGTCAACCCAACCATCTCTTTCCTGTAATATCTCTGTGGCTCGATCATAGAAACTGAGTAAATTCGATACACAAGATCTTCCAGATCGAAAAGCATACTGTCTGTCTGATATTATATAATTTCTCTCCAGGTGTTCTACCCATTTAGTTTTGATTAGTTTTTCCAATACTTTCACTATTACACTTGTCAATGATACAGGTCTAAAGTGTGTGTATATGTGCAGAAATAATATTAATAAAACAATTAACATCGTGTAGTGTACTCTATATATCAAAATATATTACTTTGAAACCCATATCATTCACTAAAAAAAATTGGGCTACTCTTATTACAAGTTCGCTACATTTAGACGGTCAGCTCGCTACTTCCCGCAACTTAGATCTGGCAACCCTGGCCTCGTGGGTAGCAGTGTTGACATCATCGCCTCACAGATGGCATGAGGCGGCTCTCATCTCTTCTACTCCGCAGTCTGGCTCTCTCCTCCTCATCACTCCGGTCTCTCCTCTACCTCAGTCGAGCTCTCTCCTCCACACAGTTCTTCAGCGCCAGGATGCCCTTCTACGCCGTCGCCAGGGGCAATACCCCGGGGGTGTACGAGTCCTGGTGAGACTAGCAGAGAAATGCATTTTATAACTTATATTTACAAAAAGTGAAAGCTTTATGTGAAATTTTAGGGCACAAGATTTGGTGATTCTTTTGGTAATTACTTGCTTACACAGGTCACAGGATGTATTAAGCTTGTGGTATTAAAAAATTGTGTGTGAAGTGACTTGACACGAGGTAAGAGATGGTGTAGAATTGTTTATTTGTTAATAATTTTGATCCACGCTTTCATACATTAAAAATATCAAATAAAAACTAATATGTGAGAGATTGGTGTATATATTATTCAAATAAAAATGCCTATACAGCAGAATTATATTATTTACTGTGTGTATAGTTATATAAATTTATATATTATATATATAAATTATATATAAATAAATATTGTGTAAAAAATACATACTCTGCCCAAACTGCTATGCTATGTATTTTTGCAAGAATGTAAGAACAATATTATTTGCTCTCACAACCCATTGTACCTTCATGTATATAAATAAAATAAATCACATTTTCAGGTCTGAGTGTCAAAAACAGATACAAGGTTACAAATGCGCTCGTTACAAAAAGTTTGCCACCATGGACGAAGCTAACGAATTTATCCAAGAAAATTCTCTTACAAATCCAGTTGTAGATCGTCGGGAGAAACAAGTAGCAGACACTGCGAAAGAAAGTACTGAAAAGAAGGCCCCAGAGGAGAGTTCAGCGGAAGCTAGCCGTGAGTATTCTTGTACTGCACACAGTAGATGAATAGTATTTTGATAATTCCTTCATTGCATTTTATCTGTACTGTAGACTAGAACCAATGCTTTCAATATCTAATTTTATTTCTTTTGTCCTGGTATGTGTATTTGTGTTAGTTGTATATGTAGAATATAATGATTATTTCCAGTTTTAGCAGGAAATAATTTAGTTTTAGCTAAAGACATTCAGTAACTGTGATAAAAAAATATTTGTACCATGTATAAATTTGTGACTGATATGTAAATTATAAATTTGTATCTTTATGTTTTTTATAATATAAATAGAATATACCTTTTTAGTGTAAATATACTCTGGCATTGATCTTGCAATGTTGAAAGTATAGTTTAGTATATTTGGTACTCACAATGCAGTACTTACTAATCGAATAATTTCTGCTTTTTGGATACTAGCTGCACACCATAAGGGTGCTAATTTTATTGTTTGATGTAATTTGTTTATATATTCCTATAAATATTTTTCAGTGCAGCATTCAGGTTGCTGTTCCTTTTAAATTTTGCCAGGATATGTTTTAGCAGTGAGCTAAATGATTGCCTAACCATTTTAAATATGTTGGTAACATAAATAATAATTTATAGTACAGTATAATTAAATTATATTTTTCAACCACTGTACTGTACAAGCACTATCCAACCACCTTGAAACTGAGAGCTGCCAAACATGGTGCTGGATCTGGATTCAGTATTTTTTAAGAAAATTATAAATAAATCATTATTTATCAAACAAAAACCACCAATCTGAAAGACTAGACATTTTTTAAATAAAGTTTCCTTCTTTTTTTTTTCAACTATTTTTAATCCCTTCACCATCACCCAAGACTGCATGCTTCAACATATGGTTAATAAATAATTTTCTGTTACTGGATCGTATTTCACAGACTCGGTCACTTTCTAACATAACTTTATCATAATGTGGATAATGATTAATATCTCCTGAGTCATGGCCTTAACGTATCTATTCCTTGTTTCTTAACGTATCTTCCTTGTCCCTCATACAGTACATGGAACAATCTATAAACTTAATCTTTTACGGTGCTTTTGATTCTCACATTGGTCATTTCTGATAATGCATGTGTGCTGAGTAGATTAAGGTAGATGATTTTTTCTTTGGTTCAGCATGCAATCCACCCTAGCACCTTCTAATATCTGTTCTGTATTTTGTAAATGGAGACGTACAGTATGTGGCCTATTTTTAATACTGTAGATGACTACAAGTATATAATTAGTAGTACAGTATAGTATATGCACTGTAGTAGATTGTTTATTATAAGAAAAATGTGTAGTGTATTTTTTAATATTGAATGGTTTTTATTTCACACCAATGAATACAATTTATATAATTTTTTTATTAATTTTATGTACTAAGGCTTTAAATTTTTATTCTTGACAAAACTGTTTCTCCTTGTGGCTTATACTTTGAGTGTAATTAAACAGTTCTGGCTATTCGGAATTCACTTATGCTACTTTTACTAATACAGTAATTGACACAACAAAACATGTGAATTTTGACATGTTACCATGTCTTTGAGTCATGGGCAAAAAAACTTTTTTTCACAGGCAATTGTAACAATGGAAGATTAAGTCCAACCCTCCAGGTGATGAAGAGAGATATGAAAAAATTGCAGAAAGAATTATCTGAACTGAGGTCAAAGTTTGACAGTTATGTGGCTCAAAAATCTGGTGTTGCCACCAGCATATCACAGAAAAAAAGTTCACATAAATCTTCCTTCCCAGCTGACAAGAGGAAGCACGACGATGATGATTCGGATGAAGAAGCTGAAGGACAAACGGCTGTCAAAAAACTAAACACGGGTGATTCTACCGATGACAAGACAAAGTTTTCCACTGACAGCGAAGATTATCTCATTGTTTATACCGATGGATCGTGTGAATTCAATGGAAGAAATGGCGCCAAGGCTGGTATTGGTGTGTACTTTGGACCAAATCACCCTCTGTAAGTACAGTACTAATTAACTTGTTTATACAGCACATGTACTTTCTTTAGACGTAAAAAGCACCAACCTATTTTTCCTTTAAAGTTAATGTTTCATCCTCTTCCTGGTCATCACTGCTGTTCAAAGTTGAATAACTTCTGTGATCTTGTATACCTTTTGAGGTTTCAAGAACTTTAGAGAGCGATAGGTTATTACATTTCTTAACTATATGCTTTTAACATTCTCAATTTAATATTTTTGTGAACAGTAGTGTATTTAATAGTTATGATTAAATGTATTTCAGTAATGTGAGTGAGCCTGTTAAGGGAAGAGCAACCAACAACACGGCAGAAATTCAGGCTGCTACGTATGCCTTGGAGTTGTCTAAAGCTTCAGGTTAGCTCAACAAATTATGCAGCATAGTGTTTTACACATAATGGTCTCTTCATGAAACTTGACCAGTTATGTGCTAAAGATCATTTAAAGTTTGTGCAGTGTAAATACAGTAATGCTGATTTTTAAATAATTAAAAGACTAAGTTATATATTGTATTTCATAAATGATAAATAGGTCATTATATAACAATATACTGTATAAGGAATAGTTGATAATAGCTATATGGGCTGATTCCTTGTCATCAGGCTGAGATATTGGTATCAAGCTATAAATCTTGTCGAGTTTATATTAAAGAAATTTTGTTTTCATTGATATTGGTAGCTCTTCTGAATTAATAAAATTTAAATGTGGATATTGTAATTAGAATAATTTGGTAGTGATAAGCTTATAGTATGGTATTATACCAACAGGATTCAGTAAAGTGGCAGTGCATACAGACTCTCAGTTCATGATTAACTGCATGACCTCTTGGTTAAAGAACTGGAAGAAAAAGAATTGGGTGAAAAGTGATGGAGAACCAGTAAAGAATAAAGAGGACCTCATTACTCTAGATGCAGCCACTGAAGGATTGGCTGTTAAATGGGTATGTACCATTATTACCTTACTTATCATAGTAACCATAAAACTGAAGTTTTCCTATTTAAACAAAATATATAGTAGGTTGTTCTGTCTACATCTGCAGCCCATCGTCTTTGTGGATGAAGTGATTTTGCATGGGAAATAAGATTTTGTACATAGGTTATTTGGTGTTAGGGTTTGCACATAAGCCTAGGTTAAGCAGCTTAGGTTAGTGTATTGTACCTACAGATGTATTAGATACGTGTGAATCGTGTCTCAAACAAAGGTTAAAGGTAATGTGATGTAATACAAATATGGGCTAATATTTTCCATAAACAATCTATATTTAAAAAAGATTGCAGCAATTTAATTTAGGAACCTCTTGTAATTTAATTTTTGATATTTCAACTACTTTCAAAACATTCTGGCTTGGCTAGCATATATCTGCCAGTTTTATCAAGTGGGGGATAAATCGCATGTGGTGATTGAAGCACAGGAGGAAATTGCAGATAGCAGTTAGAGCATCACAAGGGTTAATTTGTTAAAGTGTAAAAGGAATAAGCAACAGGTGCCCCTTGATTTACATGGAGGTTACATTTCTACAAGAATGATGCAAGTAAAATTTTTAAGGCGTTAAAGTAATGGTTTATTTGTTTCGGGTGCATTAGCTTAGTTGTGAGGACTGTTAATATTTTGGAAAGAAAGTAAGAATTGGGAATAGTAAGATTGAGTGTATAATTTTATCTTTGTAAATTTATATTGGATGTGTGTGTATTTGAGGGTAGGTATTAAAGGAGGGCACTTATGGAGAGTGTAGACTGCATGAAAGTAGAGTGAGTAGGGCCAAGTAGTAGCTCTTAAGCAAGAATGTTTGACAGATTTGTTCACCACTATGAGGAGTATGTCATGCTATTGTTTATGTAACATAATTGCTGTTTCTAAAATGCATAACAACAAATGTATGGTATGTAAGAGTTTGTTTATTTCAGGTACATGTTAAAGGTCATATAGGTCACGAAGGCAATGAAATGGCTGACAAACTGGCCAGACAGGGTGCAAAGCTGTACAAGGCTGAGGAGGCTGATGATCCATGAATTCTAAATGCCAATTTTAAGAATATGCTATAAATGCCCTGCCTTTCAAGGCATTCATATCTTGTGTACTTAATTATTGACATACTGTACGTTGAATGGAGAATTTTTCAATGCGAAAGATAAAAATTACTTTTGATAATTTTTATTTACACAACTGCATACATAGGTTTAATTTCTGTTCGGCTGTACATGATAAAATCTAAAGAAAATGTCCAAAGACCTAATTTTCCTTTTTTCTGACTATCATACAATAAGACATCATTCATGCAGACTTCATCCTGTATGTTTACTTAACGATAATTTATACAAATTGTAACTACCCAATGATCTGATTTATTTCTTGAGGGGGAGAAAAATGGATATTTGGTGTGATTATTTTTTCCAAATGACTTTGGAAACTTACAAATTTTATATTTTTTCATATACAGTATACACTTTATATAGTTAATGCTGTATTGTTATTTCACATGTATCCTGTGTGAACCTTCTCAGGATACTGGCTATTTTCATATTTGTGTAATAAATTATATCTAGATAATATCTTTCATTACTACCTATTACATGTCATTCCTGTCCCAGATTTGCCATTTAAAACAGTGCTGTATTTTATACTATTATAAATAACATTTTAAAAATGGTCAATATATAGGTTTATGTCCTGGGGAACATTACATGACTTTATACTGTAAATACAAAAGTTCTCACATTCTTGTAAAGCCACTAGCACACAAAAGCATTTTGGGCAGGTTCTTAGTCTTAATTTTTTGTGGAATACAACCCTCCAAATTGTTTAACAGCCAGGTACCCATTCACTGCTGGGTGAACAGAGGCTACAGTTAAGGATTGGTGCTCTGTCAATTCTCCCCAGCCAGGATACGAACCCAGACCAAATTGTTTGAGAAGCAACAGGGCGAGTGTTACCACGGGGACAACTAAAACATTGCTCAAGGCACTTAAAAACAATATCAAACCCAATTTCTTTGATTTTACTGTTCTCACTTAATGCAGCCAAGGTGTTAAGCATCATCTATGGTGTAACACTCATCATTCATTTAGATCATTCTAAACCAACATAGAAATTGCAAGTCTTTACAGGCTTTGATTCTTTGTACTATTTTTATCAAAATATGCAGATGTGTTTTGTTTCTGGAAAGACTGAGCAAAAATTAATGCATGACGCTGAGACCGTCATCACCTACTCTGCGTGTTCTGGGTTTATGATGCAGACACACATCAGGACACCAAAGTGACAATTATATTAATAGGAAACACTGAGCCAGTATGAGTAGCCCTTGGAAAAAACATACGAGGCCAAGGATCTGGGATAACACAGCAGGAACGGTGCCCAACCACTTGGCCTACCAGGTATCAAACATTGACAGCAAGAAGCAAGATCTCCACTGTACTAACAAGTCAAAGTGGTTGGTGATGCAACAAGTTTTATTGTGGAAAGAAGTTTAGTATGAATCTGTCAATTCGAGATTTGTTTTATATAACTAGATTAAACTGGTTACTGATTACAATAATTTTCTTTATATAGCCTGATTTCCAAGACATATATTGGCACTATACTCCACAATGAAAAAACTCATCTTTATCCATTCTTGATACAGCAGTAAAAAGTGAAAAATATTCAAGGGTTGGACTACCGAGACCATTCCTTTTTTTTTTTTTTATTACTTAAAGGTTCCCCCCATCCCTCCAAATGAAAGGGTTATATGGTTCTAAAATTGGCCATCAAAGGCTACATGGTCCAATTATGAAAGGAACCTTTTTCCATCATACACACGTTTAGTGTTGACAAATTTGAAATTGACAAGCATAGACATTCTCCAGATTTTGCACATGAAAAAGTAAAACTGAAAACTTATTAGTCCTCCAGGGAAAAAATAGTTAAAGAACGGGCAGTAAGTATTCATTCAATTTCTTTCTTTATTAGGGGTAGTAGGCACAGAAACTAAAGTCAAAGTTCCAAGCTCTTGTTAGTTACTGCATCTTGTCTTGAAGTTCATCATATATTTGTCTTACACTATCTATAGCTTGTATAAAATCTATAAATTGTCAAGTTTAATGCTTTTCCAAATAACAGTACAGTACATAGCATCGAAGAAATAACAAAGCTATACTATAATGTGTGTTACTTCATATCAACATCTTCTGTATCTGGATCAAAGGTTTCTTCATCAAGAGGCTGTGTTTCCATCTTGCGTTTCTTCGGTTTAACGTATAACCCAAGGCCACCTGCTCTCTCAGATTCTTCAATTGTGTAAGGCTCTATTTCCAAGGCCTTAAGGCGTCGCTTGTGAACTTTAGTTCGGAAGTGGCCCTTGAGAGCTTCTTTGTTAATGAAGTAACGTCTGAAAAATAAAAAAATGAAAGACCAATTAATACAAATACAAAAATATTAATAATTACCGCTGCAGAAGGATTCTAATATCATCTTGAGTAAAATCATCCTAGTGACAGGATGGTGGACAAACTCAAATACCAGACAATCAAATAAATCAATGATTAATATAAAATTCAGCCCCTAAACATCCACCTATATTACATAAATCCCAAAAACCCCTCAAACAAAGGAAAACTTAAAATTAGCTATAATACTTCCAAAACATTTTACAAAGTTGAACATACCAAACTTGGAGAACTACAGTTCATTATGGCAGCTCCTGATTAAACCTTTAGGACAAACGGATGTCTGGACACCTGCTCCACCTGGCAATCACCAAAACATGATGCAATTTTGACTACTTGGTGTTAATACAGATATTCTTCAATGGACCAGAGTGATATGACACTTGGTGCACTTATTGTCTGAGGTTCACAAGGAAGTCTGTAGATTTTTCCCAGCTAGATCTTCAGGCAGGGAGGTGGTGCATGTCACCAGATTTTAAGTTGTGGTGGCACCTGGCTCTTGCTATAGCAAAGTTCACTGGAAGATGTTTCTGCTCAACTGGCCTTGAGTTTAGGAGTACTGTAGTCATCATGATTCTGCCATTAGATAGCAACTTTGGGTCACTGGGTGTCAATAATTCTTCCGGTTTGCTTTGGGTTGTGAGGTTCTGGCACTTGCCTCTCCAGGGGTTGCCAAACATCTCACAATGTTTTTCTATTGGAAGACACAGTACTATAACTTTCCATTGATATCTTGAGGATTCTCCTCGAGATAATTTCAGGGCATAGCGTCTATATTTCCAGATAAATACTGTATACAGATTTTCAGAGCGTCCCCTTTCGGATGATTTCAGGGCCAATAGGTGATATATATTGAATATGGCCGCAAGGCTTTGCATTTCATTCTACATGGAGACTTCAGGGCACATCCAGCACTTGTGCCATTGTGGCCTCTAAATCAGCAACACACCAAATGTTTTGACAAATTGCTTAGAAATAAGTATGCCCTGTAATCACTAGATACATATTTAGCCGAGTTTACTTGAGAGCCACCATCTCTCTAGTGGCCTCGATGGGGATAGGAAGCCAGTGGCTTGTCAAAGGTACTCAACTGTTCCTATGCTTATTTATATATTTATTTCTATGCAAAGTAGCTATGGAGTAATGTCCTATTTGAGAATGTCTCACTAAAAATTGGGTCAAACATGATGCTGCTTTTAGTTCCCTATTATATGCTACCTTGATTCATTGTTGGAAAAGCACTGTAAAGGCCTGCAGAACTGGCTGCTGCATAGGGAGCCTAAGGTTAATTTCTGTTATGTACCAACCAAAGATGATATATAAAATTTTATAGAAATATGTAGAAGAATGAAACTTCTTCAGTCCTGGTAAATGTGCTGTAGTTGCTTTTAAATCATGGTGCTCTATTAATTCAAATCCTAAACTAAAAATATTGGGCAAAAAGATAATAGAAAAGTATTACAAGAAGCACCTGGGGCATATCAAATTCAGAACAAATATTATAAGTTATAGGCTGAAAGTAAAGTTATCAACAGTCAATGTCGCGGCTCTTATAAATGTGAACTATGGGGTTTGACACTTTCCCCCCAACGTTTTAACACTTGTCTGTAGTGAGACATCACATTGTCATTAAAAAGGTTAACGCAACGGCCTGCTACAGCTTTATCAGGGCAAGTCTTTTCAGCAAATCTTTGCAGATCTTCCCATACTGCACAGATTTTCTTAATGAGGAAGGGACATCCTCTACTGCCTTTACTCATCTATTTTCTTAGGTTGAATTTTACCACTGACTTTCTTGGGACCCATGGCATGATATATAATAAAAACTTTTATGTTCAGAAACCAAAAAAGCAGAAAAACAATGAAATTCTTCATAAAGAATTCAAGCGCGGTCGTCACTAGGCGGGATACACTGGTAAACTGAGCATGCCATGCCCCGCGCCTAGCAGAACCACATGCTTGACCCATACAAGTACAGTATCAACAGACGATTCGCATTCCAAGGCAAACTTCTTACACCAAGTCAAATTTTACGAGGAAATTGACTTCATATACCAAAAAAAATCGTAATCCAGGGCATTTGTAAACCAAGGCTCCACTGTACTGTACAATAATTTATCTGGTTCCATAAAAGATCATTCACCTATTACCCACTTACTGGTACCCCTCTGATAACATCTCGCCACACTGAAAAATTATCCCTTGCAGTTTGGTCATCTTTTGTTTAGCTAAAACAGTTTTTTTATGCATTAACACCTTTTGCGTCACCCTAGCTTATTTCTAACTCATGGACTAGTCTCATGTGGAGCACTGTGCTAACGACATTTTGGAAAGTAAAAAAAAAAAAAAAAAAAAAAAAAAAAAAAATAGTCAGCTTACATTTCCTCTCTTTGATTTATGTTGCTCTGTCAGGATTACTGGTCTTACATAACTTACATTTCTTACCAATGAATTCGTCACTGCATCATATATCAAATGTATTTATTTTATATAAATATTATTATTATATCATTAAAGCCTTCCCTTAAAGTATTCCATTAGTCATTTTCATACCATCTGTGTACATGTGCCCCAAAAATACATAAACCAGAAAACTTACTGTACTGCATCCAGAAAACTATCAACATCTTAACAGAGGCTCAAAAAACCATGTAAATTTCATACCTCAAATTTTCTAAGAATTTTTCTTACATTATAGTTTCTCCAGTTGTTGTACTGTACTGAACCTATATTGAACAATACTGTATTGTTACAATATTAATTTAGAAAATCATCTTCAGACTTGTTAACATTCATGTACTGTAGAGTACTTACGCACAATGAAGACAGTAGTGCTGTCCTGAGCCTGGCTTATCATCATCTACCTCTTGGTGCAATAACTTGGCTGAATTTTCAACTTTAAGATCATCATCAATCTAAAAAGTACAAATACAACAAACATAACAGGTCAGCAGGAGAATTTGAAATTTAATAAATATTAAGAATTTGTTTAAATGCAGGTACTGTACTGTACTGTATATCAATTTCAATAAAACAAAAATTCTGGAATAGAACAACATACAGTATATCCAAGGCAAAAACAAAAACAAAAAACAAGCAACAAGCAATAAATGTAATGAAATACCCATTTCTAGTAGGACCCTTAGGTGCCACCAGAAATGCTCGTCCAGCCAGGACAAGATGCTCAAGGCTTCCAAGATCCACCAAGACCCCTTGCCTACCAAGAGCCAGAACCAGAATCTAACTATGAAGCAAGGAGAGCTTCTGAATCAGTGACCAAAAGCTGTGACAAAAAACACAAAAGAGCAAAAAGCAAAAAAAGCAACTGCTTAAGGAAAATAGGCCCCAAGGTGAACAAAGCAAATAATTCTGCCCTAACTGTGATGTACATATAATCTAGCAAATGGCACCCAATAAGAAACAAAAGGCCAACACCACGTTAGATTGGTCAGAAGCCATAAGCTACAGACATACTGAATGAGCTGGGTAATTTGGATTCTAGTAACCTAAATCTTGTAGTAAATTGAATAAATTCAAGTTTGTGTATTTACCTTTTAACGCACATACAAATTCTGATTACTAAGATTTCTGCCAAATAGAAACACTAACTTAAAAACCTAAATAAATTTTAATTTTTTCACATGTGGACATTGCCAGTAAAAAGAATTTGGCCAACTCAAAAGGGTGAGGTGAGCATCTGGCTCCTGCTCTACTGGAGATCACTGGAAAATGTTGCAGATTTTTCCCTCATTGGGATTAGAGTTTTAGATGGACCTTCATGCTTTTTCTACTTGACTTCAACGTTGTTTGGTTACCCAGAGTTCACAGAATGCCTATTGTCTGGGGTCACAGGGGGTTGATAATCTTCCAGTAGGTTCTCTGTGTGGGGTGGGTACTGGCACATGCACCAGGGTGTCACCAAGCACCTACTTTATAGCGTGTTCATCCAATGTAAAGCACTGAAAAATAAGGCACGGTGCAGAGGAAGTTTTTATGCCAACAGGCAATGGATAGTTTCCAAGTTTTACAATTTTGCTAAACATACAGTGCTTCTAGAGTATTTTGCTCTACAAATCCACTGATAACTTGCTCCATCATTCTTTTGCTTGCAGTAGCCTTGAGAATACCTACAATGAGTTGTGTGAATATTTCCTACTACACAAGCTTGGCCTTGGGACAATCATGTCTTGTAATAACTTAGTTCAATGGGCTGTTGCTTGAACCCAATAGTCCATTTATCCACTACAACCTGCCTGACCAGAGTAGGTATTTCTGAAAGGCACCGAGAAATGCAAGATGACCTCGGAGCAAAACCCTAGTTTGCACATACAGTATTAAATTAATAAAAGCAATGGCCCCTCTCCAGTAGAGCAATAATTTCAGGGAAAGCCAGCACCACATAGTTGAATACCTGGAAGCACTTGATGGGCCCACAGAGATTTTATATTGCCAAGAGTACCAGGTAGACGAGCGAGGAAGGAGGCTGGATGAGACCCCAGGTGACGAAGGCTGCCATCTGGTGGCAGTCATGAGTGCCTCGGTGAGGGAACTCATCCTGCAGCTTCAATCATTTACTTTGTTTACCTTGGGATATTAATTTCCTTCAAACAGCTGTTTAATTTGTTGAATATATACTTTGTGATATTTTGTTTTTGTCTTGAGATGAAGAGAATAATAATCATTGGACCAAGCATGTTCATGCCCTAGAATCAGGAGGCCAAAATCTTCAAACTCCATTGGTATGGGAGCACAGTGCATCCCCTCCCTCTGCTGGAATAGCATGAATTACACTAACCTTACTTAATGGTGCTTTGCCAAGTGTTACCTAACCTAGCCAAGCCTTACCTAAACTTACGCTAGCCTTGCTTTACCTTATCTAGCCATAATAGTTTCGGTGACATTTCGTCCTAACAAGAGTGGAGGTGTGAAGACTGACCTGATCGAGGTCCTTGGTGCGTCGCTTGGTCCTCCACCCCTTCTTGAGGTGTGTGTCTCCCCGGTGGAATCTCTTCCTTCTCTGGGGACCCGGCATCCTGTCCTGCTTTGTCTTCTGCCTCGCCTGCTGCCTCACCTGCTGCTTCACCTGCTGCCTCGCCTGCTGTCTCACCTGCTGCCTCGAGTCTCTCCCTCGCTACGAACAATAACAAATCAACAATTCCAAATTATACTTTTCAGCCTTAATCCTCTATTCGAAGACTAAATCATTAAAAATACAATTATTAATTTAGTTAAGGAGCTAGTTGTAAAAGAATAAATCTAACTATATATATATATGGTCGACGAAATTGTTGCATTGTAGAGAACCAATTAATCAGCGATTAGTGGTATAAATATTTTTTATTAAAACACTTACTGTGCAGCTCTCTATATAAAATAATAAATAATAATATCCACATAATAATATGACGAGCACAGAGTTTGGTATAAATTCTGCATATGCTTTTATCACCAAATTTCGGCTGTTAGCAATCATCATGACCCAGAGGGTGGGGCCACGTGATCACCGCCACACCACCAACTGACAAACCAATATTATAATAATATTCGTTGAATTTTGTAACTAGCTCATAAAGACTGTAACTGGCTTATCTAAATGAATTGTGGGGTTCAGTCCCTGAGCCCATTATGTGACTGTAACCCTTTCCACTACCGCCCACAAGATGGGTATGGGGTGCATAATAAATAAACTAAACTAAACTAATAATAATAATAATAATAATAATAATAAAAGTACATACATTCAAAATGAATTACAGACAGACTGTTGGATTTCTAGATAGAGCTAGTACATACTATACACACAGAAATGTGTGTATAGTATGTACTATATATGTGTATAGTATTTGCAGTCTCCGTGGTGTAGTGGTAAGACACTCGCCTGGCGTTCCGCGAGCGCTATGTCATGGGTTCGTATCCTGGCCGGGGAGGATTTACTGGGCGCAATTCCTTAACTGTAGCCTCTGTTTAACGCAACAGTAAAATGTGTACTTGGATGAAAAAACGATTCTTCGCGGCAGGGGATCGTATTCCAGGGACCATAGGATTAAGGACTTGCCCGAAACGCTACGCGTACTAGTGGCTGTACAAGAATGTAACAACTCTTGTATATATCTCAAAAAAAAAAAAAAAAAAAATCACAATAGCGTGATATATCAACTATCAATAGCATGAAGGCGGGTCTGGGAACATCCCGTGCGTAGGTTCGAACCCTCATCATTGCCCTTGTGGATTTGTTCATAGTACATCCTATGAGTAAAGCTACTAATACGCACAGCGTTTCGGGCAAGGGCTCATTAATCCCAGGCGCCTAAAATTGGCATGGGAGCCTCCAAAAATCAGTCCTTGTCTAAGCTAGCCAACTTTAGCTAGTGCATGAGAGCAAGGGTGACCAGTGCTGCTATTGTATCAGAGAAAGGGTACTTAGTGCAACTATTGTATAAGAGCAGGAGAAACCAGTGCAGCTGCTGTATTAGAGCAAGGGTGACTAGTGTATCAGAGCAAGGATAACAAGCACAGCTATTGTATTATAACAAGGGGTGACAAGCACAGCTATTATATTATAACAAGGGGTGACAAGCACAGCTATTGTATTATAACAAGGGGTGACAAGCACAGCTATTATATTATAACAAGGGGTGACAAGCACAGCTATTGTATTATAACAAGGGGTGACAAGCACAGCTATTGTATCAGAGCAAGAGTGAGCAGTGCTACTATTGTATCGGAGCAAGGGTCAACAGTGCAGCTGTTGCATTAGAGCAAGGCACAGCTACATGTATCAGAGCAAGTGAGACCATGGCAGCTATTGTATCAGAACAGGGGGTGACCCCTGTATCCAGGCAAGTTACTGTGACTTGGGCTTGGGCTTTCCTGCCAAAGAGTTCATATTATTCATCATAACACAATATTCATGTGTTTTCCTGGAACCCACCTTTAATATTTTAACCTATTTTCTGATGGAGGATCGGTGTGTGTATTCACCTAGTTGTGCTTGCGGGGGTTGAGCTCTGCTCTTTCGGCCCGCCTCTCAACTGTCTATCAACTGTTACTAACTACTATTATTTTTTTCCACACCACAGGAAGCAGCCCGTGACAGCTGACTAACTCCCAGGTACCTATTTACTGCTAGGTAACAGGGGCATTAGAGTGAAAGAAACTCTGCCCATTGTTTCTCGCCGGCGCCCGGGATCGAACCCGGGACCACAGGATCACGTGTCCAGCGTGCTGTCCGCTGAGCCACCGACTCCCACACTGTGTGTGTGTGTGTGTAATTACCTAAGTGTAATTACCTAAGTGTAGTTACAGGATGAGAGCTACGCTCGTAGTGTCCCGTCTTCCCAGTGTGTGTGTGTGTGTGTGTGTGTGTGTGTGTGTGTGTGTGTGTGTGTGTGTGTGTGTGTGTGTGTGTGCGCGCGCGCGCGTGTGTGTGTGTGTGCACGTTGATACCTAGCCTAACGGAAACTACGTTAAAAATTTTTGCTGAATCTTGAATGCAGATGCAGATATTGCATACAAGGTGAGATGGATCAACCACATAGAGTGCACCGCCCCAAACGTTCCGTCACTACAGGAACTCTACCTCCAGCTTGGCAATTCACTTCACCTAACGTTAAGATTTAGCTTCCTCTGATTTGTAGTATGTAGGCCTACAAAATTGTACTTAATTCTTCTGTAATCTCCGTTTTTCAATATATATTCAGAAATGTACCTAATTTATTCCAGGAAGACTTGATCGAGTAACTCCCAGTTTATCTTTCAAATTTAAATATCATTAGAACCTAACCTGACTTCATACCCTTATTTGACTCAAGGTGGCAAAAACCCATTAGAAATTAGTGTAAACTTTTCTCTAGTACTCTTCTGTACGTGTATTATGTGCAAACTATGCTTAAAATGCAATATTTGTTGTTAGCATGCGAAGAGATCAGGATATATATTTAATAATTTTCTACGGTGTGGGGGCCAGATTCACGAAAGCACTTACGCAAGCTTTTACGAACGTGTACATCTTTCCTCAATCTTTGACGGCTTTGGTTACGTTTATTAAACAGTTTACCAGCATGAAAACTTGCCAATCAACTGTTGTTATTGTTATAAACAGCCTCCTGGTGCTTCGGAGCTCATTAACTGTTTAACAGTTGTAAACAAAGCCGCCAAAGATTGAGAAAAGATGTACAGGTTCGTAAGTAACTGCTTCGTGAATCTGACCCCTGGGGCCGACATGTTACTCGTCCGACACCAGGAAGCACACTGACCAGCCGTGCCTCCTGCAGTCTCTGCACCTCCAGCAGGAACTCTCCCGCGCGCTCCTCTTACCCCCATGACTCACCGCGGGAATTGATTTTGTACCAACACGCGTGTCTGAACTTACCTACCAGTGTTTGCCTAAGAGTGACTGTGGGGAAGGTGAGGCCCGGCTCTTTATGCAGCCCGCCGCTGGCCCTTATTGTACCTGTTGCGTCATTTTAAAAATTTAACCTTACTGATGCTCGAGTTTATGATCGTATCAGGCCCTGAAGTTGTGGAAGGAGGTGACTTCCGTCATTCCTTTCGGTACATTCCACTTGTTGACCGGCCCACACAGAGTGGGTACGAAATTTCCTGCATTTCTTCGACTCATTTACTTTTCCAGTTTCCTCCTATGTCCTCTTGTTCTGCTTCCTCAATTTAAATAAGCTGTCTTTGTCTATCCTTTTCAGTATTTTGTAAATAGTGATGGATCATGTCCCCTGTGGTTTTTCTCTTATAAGGATGTGAGCGTTTGTTCTTTGGTGTGTGTGTACAAGTGCGGGTATTTACCTAACTGGACTTGTCTAGCTGTACTTGAGGGGTTTACTCTCCAAACGGCAAGGCCCTTATAACTGTCAATCGAATGGCGTAGTTGGCTCTTACCTCACATGAAGTTGTTATTAATATTTCAATTATAATTCATTTAAATTACATATTTGTCCGCAGTAGTCTTAGGAAAGCTAACACAATCACATGAGAGTAAGTTCTGAAATATCATCAGTTGTATTTTTTGTAAATAATTGTTATTATAAAAAATTTTCTATACATGATATTGTCTTGAGGTGGTTCTTGTAAGAGCAGAAGTTGGACGTGCGAGCATCCATGCATGAGGGCAGGGTTGGGCACCGCTCCATATTATTGGCTCAGTCTTCATAGCCCAGATCCTTGACTCCGTGTCATTTCTAAGTACTATACAGTCCAACTGGCTTAGCACTTTCTACAAAAATATATTGTTATTTTAATTATGTCTTTAGAACATAGTATTATGTTGTCATGTCCGTTGTATTCCCCTGTTTCCTTCAGTGTAGCAAGGCTCAACGAATTTTTCTTCATAGTTCAGTCCCTTTAGCTCAGGATCCAGCCTATGTTGCGTGATGTTGTATCTTTTCTGTCTTTGCTTCGTGTTGACAGATTTCCGTCATCCAAGGAAGAAGTAGTCTATCCAACCCTCTCTTTCCTGTTTGATGATTGTCATCTTACGGAACTCTTAACAAGTTGATCATGCAGGATTTCGTTGTGGTGAATCCATATTAATATTTGCAGATAAAATTCATTTGTTCTAAGTGTGTGTGTGTTTACTATTTGTGCTTGCATGATAGAGTTCGTAGAAATAACTGGGCCTCCATAATCCATGCATTCAAACGAGTATATAAATCCAATGACGACACATTAATTGTAAGTGACTCCTTGTCATCCTTGACTGCACCCGGCTCTACGGGGCATGCCTGTGGGGCGCTTGTGTCTAAAGCTAGGCGCAGATATAATGAAATGATACATGATGGAGTCAGAGTTTGTCTCCTGTGGATTCCTTCCCATGTTGGTCTCCGAATGCATGACAGAACTGATGAGTTGGCCAAAACATCAACTCGTAAAGCGAGAATTGATTACCATCTTCGATTGCCTTTGAGCAGCCTGAGGGCAGCAATATTCCGGGAACAGCAACAAAATCTTGTAGACTTGAGGTAAAGTGAAATTCATACGAGTGGAGCAGGAGAAGTAGCCTTGTAAATGACTCATCACAGATGTAAACTGCCTTGTAAAGAAACTGTCACAAGTGCTTCACTTCTTGAAGCACTTGTGATATTAAATGAATATTGCTATATGTATATGAAAGAAGATGTATGCGTGTATATATATTTATATATAATATATATAATATATATATATATAAATATATACTATAAGAGAGAGAGTGTGTCTGTCAGTCTTTCTAAACATGGTGGCCAGACGCTATAGGCTAGCCTTATCCAGATTTGCAGGGGGAATGATCTAAGGTAGGGGACGGACATAGGTTGGTCGGGGTAGACCTAAGTTAAATACTTTAACAAATATTAGTAATTATGATCACCCCCCCACCAGGTAATTTTAATAGTCAAGTGTGAAATATGGCGTGTCATTAATGTGGAGCTTTTAATTAAAAGATAAAAGAAAGACGGATGAGAAGAGAGAGAATAGGAAAGTATCTGAAAACCACAGACCAGTTGTTTCACTACTTCTGAGAGGAAAGTAGGGGGGGGGGAGGACGATAAGGGGGGGGGCGATAAGGACGAGCTCCCCCCCCCCCATAGGGTTGAGCTCTGCTCTTTCGGCCCGCCTCTCAACTGTCAGTCAATCAACTTTTACTAACTACTATTTTTTTCCACACATACACCCCCAGGAAGCAGCCCCGCAACAGCTGCCAACTCCCAGGTACCTATTTACTGCTAGGTAACAAGGGTACCAGGGTCAAAGAAATTTTGCCCATTTTGTTTCTGCCATCACCGGGGATCGAACCCGGACCCCTAGGATTACGAGTCCAGAGCGCTGTCTACTCAGCTCTCAGGTGTGTGTGTGTATTCACCTAGTTGAATACTCACTTAGTTGTGCTTGCTGGGTTGAGCTCTGGCTCTTTGGGCCCGCCTTTCAACTGTCAATCCTGTCAATCAATCAACTTTTTTTTTTTCTCCACACTCACACCCAGGAAGCAGCCCGTAGCAGCTGTCAAACTCCCAGGTACTTATTTACTGCTAGGTGAACAGCGCATCAGGGTGAAAGAAACTCTGCCCATTTCTTTCCGCCTCCGCCGGGGATCGAACCCGGACCCTTAGGACTACGAATTTAGAGCACTGTCTACTCAGCCGTCAGGCCCCGTTGACCTGACGACTGACGGATTATTTTTTAGCCATAAATATGTATATATATGTACTCACCTAATTGTGCTTGCGGGGGTTGAGCTCTGGCTCTTTGGTCCCGCCTCTCAACCGTCAATCAACAGGTGTACAGGTTCTTGAGCCTATTGGGCTCTATCATATCTACACTTGAAACTGTGTATGGAGTCAGCCTCCACCACCTCACTTCCTAATGCATTCCATTTGTCAACCACTCTGACACTAAAAAAGTTCTTTCTAATATCTCTGTGGCTCATTTGGGCACTCAGTTTCCACCTGTGTGGAAACCCCTCACCCCTCACTGTAACTCTCTGCTTCCTATTGCTTAGGTACTCGACCCTTATCCACTGGAGCGCCCTACCAGTTACTCCTGCCTGTTTCTCCAGCTTATGCATCAGCCTTTTGTGGGGTACTGTGTCAAAGGCTTTCCGTGTGTGTGTGTGTGTGTGTGTGTGTGTGTGTGTGTGTGTGTGTGTGTGTGTGTGTGTGTGTGCAATTCGTGAGGAGCTATATTTTTTTTATGTCTCAGCATTTATTTTCCGCAGAACGGATGAAGTTTTTTATTATTATTATTATTATTATTATTATTATTATTATTATTTTCTACCACAGACGTGGCCACACATTTACAATGCTAACCATCATATATACATTTTCTTCTGTCCTCCATGGTCAGGGTTAGAGATGTGTTAAACATATAGTTCAGGGGTTTATTGAACAATCAACCACAGAAGGTGATTCGGTGTTTTTAAAATGCTAAGCTAACCTACATACGTAAATACATAGTAAATACATAGACAGTACGGATGAAGTACGTGTTTATCTTGCTGTTCTCTACAGAAATATAGTGCCACAAGAGGTAATGCCCATTGACCCCAGGCAGCGAGGGCGAGCCAACATACACCGTGGGGCACCAGCAGGGCAGGCAGCAGGAGGAATGTTTATGTGTGGTACATAGACAGGTTTCCTGTTCCCTCCTAGACCGTTACGTAACAGTGACGTCACGCACTAGTTCGCTCCCAGCTATGGAAAACCACGAAGGCGGGTGAAAGGAAGAAGATGGGAGGTTGAAAACTGGGACGAGTAGTTAAACAGAGGCGTGACTGCCATACACCTTGAGGGTGTCACGGACACTGGGATTGGAATATTAAGAGAGAGAGAGAGAGAGAGAGAGACTTAAAGAAAACGGGGCGACCTCCTAGTGTCCTCCTCGGGGGCCAGCCTTCCTCCAGAAAGTCTGGGGGCTTTCTTTGCACTTTTAAATTTCGATCGATCACGACCTTGTTTGGTGCATAACTTGCCAGTGTTGGCGAAAAGGGGGGAGAGGAGAATGAGAGCGCCGTCTTGGGTGTGTAAGGCTCATGTGATGAGGATTGGAGGGGCGGTGTATGAGGAGTGAGTACGGGGGTGAGCGAGACAATTTGGGGTGGTCGATACAATTTGGGATGGATGTTGCGAGGGTAGCGTTCAGCGAGTCGCGGGCCCCTCAGCGTCACCCGTCAAGAAACCCTTCAGCGCGCGCCCTTTGCACCTCCAACATTTACAATGTCGCCAATGACTTTATATCCTTTCCTATATACTACAATAAATTAGAAATCATTAGACATCAGGAAGGCCAAGGTGACGCCCATGTCATTTCCTCCCGTCCGCCATTTTGTGAGCTCAAACAAAGAGTTTCAGTTTTTGCGGTTGATAAAAGCCCCAAAAGAGACTAAAGGATTCTTTTAAGTTTGAGCCTCAGCATTGGTATTAAGTCTGTCATATTGAGGAATCATATCAGGGCATGAAACGAATTTATTGTAATGTTAATCAATAAAGTATTTCAGAGCCTGCGCGACCGTCGCTAGGTGCAGATGTGGTCTCGCGGCGCCCAACAACCATCAAAACCTCCTGAAACGATAACTTTAATTTTTTCCCCGATTTTTTTAGCCATAAATATACTTCGTTATTAAACCTAACCTATATATAAAATTGTCTCGAGCGCTAAATATATTTTGAGTAGGCTAAAGAAGGGTTTAAAATTGTTTGTGTTAGTGCGTTGTGGAGTGAGTGAGGTGGGAGGGAGAGTGTTGGAACGCGTGGTGGCGAGCCGCTCGCGAACACAATACGTAGCGCCGGTGTGTGTGTCCTGACTCTCCTTCTTCAGTGCCCAGTGCTCCGCTCATGACTGCCGCCCTGCCCTAGAAATGTGTTCTCGGTGTATTTGAGTGTGTGCTTTAGTGTGTGATCACAAGAAAACATGACTAAAGAAATGAACAAAGACGCCGAAGCGTATGACAGGGAATATGATGGGTTTCTCAAGCAGCTTGAAGAATTTCATCAGCAGAGAGGGTAAGTGCCGTTATAATGTGTACCTGAGTGGAGTTGGCGATGAAGTATAGTGTGATATATGTGCGATGTGAGGTACTAAGGCTGTGTGTCCCGACAGGACGGCCTTCAAGCGGCTGCCCCGCATCAACGGGAAGGGAGTGGACCTGTACCTGCTGTATGTGGTGGTGACGGCGCGCGGCGGCTGGCAGAAGGTCGGTCTCTCGCCACCACTCGTATTTTCCCGCCACGGGTGCGAGGCCACTGGCACTCTGGCACCTCACGCACGCCAAGCACACCTCTCCCGCGCTCTCACACCCCTCATTCACCCAGACCCCACACGCCCACACCCCACACTCACCCATAGACCTCAAGCAACCCCCCCTCTCTTCCCTCTCCCCCTTCCCCCCCTGCTGAGTCTTAGGATTTCTGCCTCCCCCTAGCCCCAGCCCCCCCTCCCTATACCATAACAAACACGAAGTGCCATGTAGGCCTTCACAACTTGTCATTTTAGTGCCTACAAGAATGCCCTTAAATGTCATTAAGACACTGACAGACAAGATGTCTTGGTAACCTCCACAGCATCTCGTGAGAACACTGCCCAGACACACTCACCAAACCTCTCAGATACCATGACACATGCTTGGCTTAATGCTTAATTCATCCCTTCACCTTTAGCATGCACTCAGTTATGTTCTTTCTTTGTTCTAGGGCAATCTGAAGTTAACAAGAGTATTTAGTGACTAGTATTATTAACTGTTTAAGTGGAGTTGTTAATGTTTTTCCTTCACCTAAATTGCAACACTTATAAGTGTACTAGACATAAGTATAATTTTTATATTTTATGTCCAGTAATATGTTTATAATGTTTTTTTGTGATAAATTACAGTACTTGGATAGTTTGCTAAAGTTCCTGTGTGAACAAGCCTTTTAATTTTGTACTATAAAACTTTTAAATATTAGCTGGCTGTAAAATTAGTTTAACAGACCTGTATTCATCATACTATACTAGTCAAGAGATAAGGTATTGCCTTATGTGATGCATTTTAAGATTGCCACAATTTTAGAGAAGGAAGGTTAACATTTCTTTCAGCTTTGGAATGTATTTGTTGTGCTTGGCTTGGTGCTTTTGAACATTGCTGCCCTGTAATAGTGATTAAACTAAACTAAGGTCCATGCATGATAATAGTGTTATATATACATACATAATCATACTCTGATTACTTACCTCATATTGCTATCTTTAATGTGTTGCACATAAGGATTTCAGTTTTATTAAGTTATAATATCCAGCTTATTAAGAAATAAGTACTGTAAATAGTTATGCTTTGGGAGTTTTCATTATTTTTTAGATAAATATTAATTTATCTTATGTAATGGAGAGATAATCCAGCCTCTATTCTGCATCTAAACTGTGTAGAATACAGGAGTACTAGTATCTACCAATTGGTTATGCAAGATTATACATACTAATTCTGAAATATGTATACAGTACTATTTAAAATATGTAATTAATAATAACAATCATTATGTAGTTATTATTTATTATATTAATAATTATTAATTGTAGCTCTTATAATAATCATCAACTATATAGCTATACATGTAGTTCTAATATATATATATATATATATATATGATATATATATTGTATTATATACATACTACCTGTATATAATATATATATATATATATATACACTGTATGTGCAAAAAAACTTGAGTGTTCCCAAGCAAATATGCAACTGAAAACTTGCATATTAAAATGCAACCACACCCTGAAATCCTTCTGGGGTTGGAATGTATGTGTACGTGTGGAATGTGTGTGTGTGTGGAATGTATGTGATTGTGTGTGGAATGTATGTGAAATTGTGTGTGGGATGTATGTGAAATTGTGTGTGGAATGTATGTGAAATGTGTGCATGTGGAATGTATGTGAAATGTGTGCATGTGGAATGTATGTGAAATGTGTGCATGTGGAATGTATGTGAAATGTGTGCATGTGGAATGTATGTGAAATGTGTGCATGTGGAATGTATGTGAAATGTTTGCATGTGGAATGTATGTGAAATGTTTGCATGTGGAATGTATGTGAAATGTGTGCATGTGGAATGTATGTGAAATGTGTGCATGTGGAATGTATGTGAAATGTGTGCATGTGGAATGTATGGGAAATGTATGTGTGTGTGTGGAATGTATGTTAAGTGTGTGTGGAATGTATGTGAAATGTTTGTGTGGAATGTATATGAAATGTGTGTGAAATGTAAGTGAAATTACATTTCACACACATTTCATATACATTCCACACAAACATTTCACATACATTCCACACACACTTAACATACATTCCACACACACACATACATTTCCCATACATTCCACACACACACTTCACATACATTCCACATGCACATATTTCACATACATTCCACATGCACACATTTCACATACATTCCACATGCACACATTTCACATACATTCCACATGCACACATTTCACATACATTCCACATGCACACATTTCACATACATTCCACATGCACACATTTCACATACATTCCACATGCACACATTTCACATACATTCCACATGCACACATTTCACATTCATTCCACATGCAAACATTTCACATACATTCCACATGCACACATTTCACATACATTCCACATGCACACATTTCACATACATTCCACATGCACACATTTCACATACATTCCACATACACACATTTCACATACATTCCACACACACAAGTGAAATTGTGTGTGTGGAATGTATGTGAAATGTGTGTGTGTGTAATTTGTGAAATGTGTGCATGTGGATTGTATGTGAAATTTGTGCGTGTGGAATGTATGTGAAATGTGTGTGCGGAATGTATGTGAGATATGTGTGGAATGTATGTGAAATGTGTGTGTGGAATGTTATTTATTTATATATACAAGAAGGTACATTGGGTTTGTGAGAATACATAGCATAGTATTTACAATCTTGTAAAGCCACTAGTACGCACAGCGTTTTGGGCAGGTCCTTAATCTAACAGATAATTTTAAGTAGGTAAATTCTAGCAGAATTAATAAAATGATAAAATGTATGTGAAATTGTGTGTGTGGAATGTATGTGAAATTGTGTGTGTGGAATGTATGTGAAATTGTGTGTGTGGAGAATGTATGTGAAATTGTGTGTGTGGAATGTATGTGAACTTGTGTGTGTGTGTGTGGAATGTATGTGAAATTGTGTGTGTGTGTGGAATGTATGTGAAATTGTGTGTGTGTGGAATGTATGTGAAATTGTGTGTGTGTGGAATGTATGTGAAATTGTGTGCGTGTGGAATGTATGTGAAGTGTGTGTGTGGAATGTATGTGAAGTGTGTGTGTGGAATGTATGTGAAGTGTGTGTGTGGAATGTATGTGAAATGTGTGTGTGGAATGTATGTGAAATGTGTGTGTGGAATGTATGTGAAATGTGTGTGTGGAATGAATGTGAAATTGTGTGTGTGGAATGAATGTGAAATTGTGTGTGTGTGGAATGAATGTGAAATTGTGTGTGTGTGTGTGGAATGTATGTGAAATTGTGTGTGTGTGGAATGTATGTGAAATGTGTGTGTGGAATGTATGTGAAATGTGTGTGTGGAATGTATGTGAAATGTGTGTGTGTGTGTGTGGAATGCATGTGAAATGTGTGTGTGGAATGTATGTGAAATGTGTGTGTGGATTTTATGTGAAATGTGTGTGTGTGTGGAATGCATGTGAAATGTGTGTTTGAAATGTGAGTGTGTGTGGAATGCATGTGAAATATGTGTGTGAAATGTGAGTGTGAAATGTGAGTGTGAAATGCGTGTACAGTACTCCCCTAATTGTGCTTGTGGGGGTTGAGCTCTGGCTCTTTGGTCCCGCCTCTCAACCGTCAATCAACAGGTGTACAGGTTTCCAAGTCTATTGTGGTCTATCATATCTACACTTGAAACTGTGTATGGAGTCAGCCTCCACACACATCACTTCTTAATGTATTCCATTTGTCAACCACTCTGACACTAAAAAAGTTCTTTCTAATATCTCTGTGGCTCGTTTGGACACTCAGTTTCCACCTGTGTCCCCTTGTGCGTGTTCCCCTTGTGTTAAATAGCCTGTCTTTATCTACCCTATCAACTCCTTTTAGAATCTTGTATGTGGTGATCATGTCCCCCCTAAATCTTGTCTTCCAACGACATGAGGTTTAATTACAGTAGTCTCTCCTTGTAGCTCATACCTCTCAGCTCGGGTACTAGTCTGGTGGCAAACCTTTGAACCTTTTCCAGTTTAGTCTTATGCTTGACTAGATATGGACTCCATGCTGGAGCCGCATACTCCAGGATTGGTCTGACATATGTGGTATACAAAGTTCTGAATGATATCTTTGAATGATTCCTGCGTGTAATCACCTAATTGTGCTTGCGGGGATTGAGCTTTGGCTCTTTGGTCCCGCCTCTCAACTTACAATCAACTGGTGTACAGATTCCTGAGCCTACTGGGCTCTCTACATTTGAAACTGTGTATGGAGTCAGCCTCCACCACATCACTTCCTAGTGCATTCCATTTATTAACTACTCTGACACTGAAAAAATTCTCTCTAATGTCTCTGTGACTCATCTGGGTACTAAGTTTTCACCTGTGTCCCCTTGTTCGTGTCCCACCCGTGCTGAAGAGTTTGTCTTTGTCCACCTTGTCAATTCCCCTGAGAATTTTGTAGGTGGTTATCATGTCTCCCTACTCCTCTGTTTTCGAGAGATGTGAGGTTCAGCTCCTTTAGCCTTTCCTCGTAGCTCATTCCTCTCAGCTCCGGGACGAGCCTGGTGGCATACCGCTGAATCTGCTGAATGTGTGTGTGTGTGTGTAACTATGAAATGTCTGTATGGAATAAATAGGAAATTGTGTGAAAGTGGAATGAAAATTGTGTAGGGTGTAGAATGAAAATGAAGAGTGGAATTTATGAAGTATGTGAAATATTAAATTTTTTAAAATTAATATTATCGAACAGATATGAAGGTGATGGAATAATTATGAAGTGTAGCATGAGTATGTGTGTAATGAATATGTAATGTGCATGGAATGTGAAATGTGTGGAATGAGCATGAAAAGATTTTACTCTGCAATGAGCATGGTATGAATGTGAGTCATTTGTGGAATGGTAGTTCTGTGCATAGAGTTGGTTGTGTGTCGAATGAAAATAGATTTTCGTGGAATGAGTATGAAATGTGCACATGGAATGAGTATGAAGTGTGCACATGGAATGAAATGTGTATGGAATTAATATTAATGTTTGGAATGAATGTG